GAAAAATGAAGAGGATCATCTGCATTCCTCCAAAGCAAAGGGGCAGGAGGTAAATCTGCTGTATGTGGGAAGAACATGCCAAGACATAAGCAATTCGTTCTCAGGAAAACTGTGTACCTGACCGCCATCATGTAGAACCAAATTGGCTGGCACCACATCTAGGTGGTAACTCGCACCCCCTCCTCACCAAGTGGCTGATCTTTACATGTTAAAAGATTTCAAACTAAAAATCATCTTATCTAAATCATGAACCCCGGCTCTTCCCAAATCCTCTTTCTGCTTGAGTGGTGGAAAGCTTGGCAGTTTTACTTAGTGCTTCCCAGCTTACACTGTGCAATACCTCAATACAACTACTCTTCTTTCACTCTGAAGCAAGTACACCAGGCGAAGGCCACCAGGGTTTCAGCGGTTGGTTTGGGGGGGGATGACTCCGGGGACCCTGCACTGACTTTTTCAATCGCTCTCAGCAGTATGCTCAGAATGCAATAAAGGAGAAGGAAATCCCTATGGATCGACTGGAGTTCATGGGTCATGGCAAAGAAAAGCTTGAAGGTTCTTCTTGACCTTGACAGTCACCTTGAAAGTGGGACTCCTCAAATCAGCAAATTGAAGACTGGATTTCGTCATTTCAGGCTGTCACAAAAGCCATCGATTTGGTGAGGAGTTTGGGAGGATGTTTGATTTTTTCCTTTCTGGTGTTTTTCCTAACTTGCTGCCCAGTGAGTCTCACCTGCCCTGGTGTTTTACAGGAACTGAATGTGCTAAAAATGATTTTGTGGGCTTTGGTTGTAATACTTGGTCTGGGATCAATTTCAGTATACGTTGTATGTAAATAGTGATAAACGTCATGATGTCCAGGGTTGCCTGGCCTCTTTTTTTGTGCTGTAAAGGATATTAGGTACTTGGTCATGGGGTCATTGTTCCTGGAACTGATAGCTTTAGGACGTCTCCTTTCCTGGTATTGCTCTGAAAAGGCACCTCAGCTGGAGCATAGTTTTATTTTCATATAATAACTGTTAGTCTAAATAGAGTAGAGAAACAAATTCATAGACACTCCTATGTGTATAAGAAAGAAATTTATATACAAGAGCAATTGAATATTCAGAAAATATTAAGCACAGTCCAGATCAAGTCCATATGCCTGATATTAGCCCATATGTCTGATACCAATCTATAAATTCCTCTTCAGACTCACACAGCACATGCAATAACACCAAACTGAGGAAGATCACAGGCCAGTGGGTGGAAAGTCTTGTGGATCCATTGGCAGTAGAAGCATCTCAGTGCTGGCAGGGGTCTCCACGTGGCTCCTTCAGCTCCAGGGCTCTAGTAGCTCCATGTGTCTTATCAACAGGAATGTCTAGCAGGGAGTAAGTCAGTGTCCTGCCTCCAGCGAGCTACTTATCTCCTAGTGCCTCCAAATGAAGTCATCAAGCTGTGACCTGAGGGACAGGCTAACCTCCACCCCTTCACTCTTGTCTCAAATTAACAACAGATGTATGTAACTACCATAGTAACTTAACAGTTAAGATTGCTGGGTTAGCCAAGAGAACGAACACTTTCAATAGACATACAACTCTGCCTTAACAAGAGGTGTCTAAGATTTGAAAGCTTCAAGAGCGTTACAGTCAACACAAGGTGGACAGCGTAGTTCAGGAATTAAGGTACTTGAGTAGTTGTCAGGGGAAAGAGCTGGCTTCCAGCCTAAGTCAATGAATTAAGTCAGCATGCATATTATTTAAAATGCCAAAATGCGGCATCTAGTTATAAGGATTTTTAAACGTTTGTTTTATTTGCCCTCTTTACCATCTTGTCCTGCAGTGCCTGTAATAATGAAGATGAAATAAATCAATGTGTTTAGTCTCTCTCTCTCTCAAATCAATAAATAATTAAAATAAAGTACATGGTTTTCTTCTTTGACATTTCTGGTGTGAAAAGTGGAATTTTGAAGGTTGGTTATCTTTGATGATGATGAAACAGGCATAGCACTGATTAAATTCTTGGGAATTGATAAAGGTAAAAATACCTCTTGAATCTGAGCTCCACTCTTATGTTGACAGTTATGTTGATGGGTTTTATTGTTGAGTGGTTTGGACTCTTGTAAGTAAAGCATTGTTGTTACAGTCATTATAAAGTGGGGAATGCCAAGTGCAAAGAAGATCTGGAGCCACGCTCAGAAAGTCCTCCTAACTACAAGAATAAGCCGTGTGGTCATTTATCATGCATGTTCCTGTCTATGTGGCATCATCTTACTGGAGACAG